CCACCATCTTGCTTTTTGTTGTGAAGTTGTCATTCTGACGAAGAAGTTTTAAAGAAGTCGAGGGGTTGTTTTTCTATTGACAAGGACTTGATGTGTTGCAAGTGCAGCCATTTCCCTTGGGGACAATCGGGGAAAGTCAATTTGAAGATGCCATCTGCAAACGTTCTTTTGGCGACATGATGCACTCAGATGGTTGATGGAAGAGGGTGGAACTCCAGTTTTCGGGAGGAGAGGGGAGGGCGGGGTGCTGGTGGGGCGCGCGGGTGGAGGGAGAACCTACCTTGCGGGTGCGTGCGAAAGCGGCATTGGCAGGATCATGACCCTATTCATGTAAGGTGGAGGTGCTACAGTTACAGTGGGTTGTGTCAACGTAGAAGGAAACATTCTGGCTTGCGCTCGATGCGTGGCCTTAGATGCTTCACCTTAGGCGCGTCCATACCAGAAGGGGGAGGGGGGTATTGCAGTCGTCCGGAAAGGAGAAGAGTTCGTGTCTATCTCGAGAAAAATGTGTTTGGTTGACGATTTCTCTACGTTTTTCTATTCGGAGTGCTTTTGCGGGGAGAACTAAAGAATTTTCAGTAGAAAAAAACGGAAAGTGGTTAGGGGGTGAGAAGGTGGTAAATGCAAATTTTCCACCAACGGCACACCTCTTCTGTAGTTCCATTCTAGGTTGTGAGTCTTCACGAGGTTCTTCCAGATTCGATTTTTAGCTTTTCTTGCTACACTTTATGTAAACATTCTCAAGAACGACAGTGCCATCGCGAATCCGTTTTTCGTATCCTGGCTGCGGGTTCCTTCTAAATGAAGCTTTACTGGGGTTTTTTTTTTTTTTTGGCGTCAGGCGCTGCATTGCTTATAAGCGCTGGTCACAATACTCGGTTCCTACCTAGTATGCGTAGCAGGGCCTACATAGTGGCGAAAAGGCGAAAGAACGAGATGAAACGGTCCATGCTGCGAAGAAAACCTCTCATTCTCGATGACTTAAAAATCTATTTCGGACGAGTTCCCTTAGCATGTGCCGATTACCGCTACCGACAATGCGGCTGCATGTGTGCAAATGCAGATAGCGCGCCGCGCTTTATCTACCAATCCCTCACTTTCATTAATTTGATATAGCAAATGAATCAATAACGAGCGTCAGGAAGTGTCGTCCATTTGTGGGCGGGCGGCGCCGTTCGCGAGTGCGGTATGTTGTAGCCTGATAGGGCCCCTATAAGGGTACTTTCTTCGAAAAGGGCGCTACGCAGCGCCTGCTCATGGGCGCGGAATTCCGTCCTGCCAGGCAGTATTTATCCTTTCGTTCGTCTGGAACTCATGGTGGCCACTCCTTCTCAAGAAGTTCACGTCATCCTCATCTCTGCAGTCGAAGTGCTCACAATACACATCCCGCGATCAGGGTAGTCGCCAAATGCTTCAAATGACTGCATTTGGCATCGTTGTCTTGCATTTTGCGGCAGCGTACACTGCACGTCAATCACTTCGAAATCGGTGGAGTAGTAGAAAGCGTTGAGACGCGTGAGTCCTGCAACCGGTGCAACCACTACTACTTTCACTTGAAACACATCGGCTTACTGCGGAACTGCGTGTGCTAACATTAGCGTTTGATTTGGAGCGTCTAGGGTACTTTCCTGAGGCTCCTGGAGATCGCTTGCACTTCGAATGATAGAGCTTACCGACGTCAGAAAAACTCGTCCAGGCGCCCTTTGCTAAGGGGGTTTCTTAGAGCGTTCCCAAGATTTTTTTTCGCTTCTTTCTCTGGAGGAGTTACTTATGGGCTCTTGGTTCATGTTTAAGTCCCTAATACGAGTTAACCTTTGCATGGCGGGAAATGCGCTTCAAATTTCTGTTACACGCTACATGGCTTCCTTTGCAGTTTGGTTATTATGACTTTTAGGGTGCAACTTTTGTATAACAATAGATAATTATACGCTGTGTATATCGACTTGGGCCCCGCTGGTCAGAGTATGGGCCATATCGCCTCGAAATGCTACCACTACTCCGAGTGTCAGTGGAATTCATGGCGCATCCTAAAGCGGTACTGAAAGCGATGAAAGCTTTATCTTCTATTAAGGGTACATCATTAGTTGGGGATTTTGGTTGAGTCCGTACGACCCCCCACCCCTCCTTCTGAAAGGTGGCTTGATACGACCCCTCCCCCTGGTTCCCACCTCTGATATAATAGAGCTGTCGAGCACGGGGAGAGCTGTGCACCTGAAACGGGAAAACTCGGAAAATACGACCCCCATCTTACCCACCACTTTTCCCCAAATTTTCCGAACATTTTCCTAGTTTTTTCTAAATATTTTGCTGTCGAGGCTTGGGGGGGGGGTGGGTAGTAGTACTTATCAAAGAAAAACCACGAAAAGTGAACAACCTCTCTCCAAAGACCAGTGTGGCCAATACGAACCCTCCCCTCTCCCAAAAACGAGCAAATGCGACCCCCCCCCACTTATAGCGTCCCTGAAACAAGAAAAATCATCTATCAAAAAAATTTTCTCACAATAAACATAGGACCTCCCTCCCCCTGCTACCGAATACGACTCCCCTCGGTTGATGAATCCCCAACGATGATGTGCCCTGTATGGGAGTGTCGCAACGGTTTTTTTGTTTTTGGAAACACAAACCTGACCAACTTGAATTACCCCCTTATGAATCCCATTGATAGCAGAATTTTGAGAAGGTCGTAATTATCAAGATGATATAAAAAATCGAATAAAATACATTTGAATCATTGGTAGTACTTCGTAGTCATGAGTTTTACACTGCTTTGCATATCTGATAATGACTCATAGTTTCGCTATTGATCCCCTGAATTCCTGACAGTAGTTTCCAAGTTAAACATAACTACATAATTGTTCCCGCTTTTTTTTGCCGTGGGCTAGTGATCTTGTTAGGTAGAAGGAGCCCCTTTTATCGCATCGCTTATTTTCGTTCAATCCAAGTTTTTAGCTCTAAAAAACCCCTTAGAAAACTGAAGTCGCGAACTATTCAGTTCAAGTGATGAAAAATTCTGTACCTGGAAAAGTCTGCTTTCTCTAGGGCAAAATGAATCACCTCGTGTTCAATGGTTTCTTGAAGCCACAACCAAGGTGGTATAAATCACTTTATTGGCTAACGTTTCGGCTAGTCGCCTTCGTCAGAGCCTGAAAGTTGATTCAATCCTCATAGATCATTTCAAACTTAGAAATAGTTCTTAGATCAGCGCATCCAGGAAGGTATCGCAAATCGGAAACACAAGTACTCACCTTGAAACATACGGTAGGCTTTATAGAGGACCACCGCTAAAACTGACTAACTGTGTGGCTAAGATGACCCAGCCCCTCGACCTGAAGCCGATGGCGATTGAAGCCCACACAGGTCAACGAACGGGGCGAGCTCGTTTGTAATGGCGAGGCACTCGTCTTTCTTGTTCATTTTTGGACTTTTAGCGCGTATCCAAAAGGCCTCCAAAGTTTTGCGGTGCTGAGGTCTGGGGCTCTCGCATCAGAATCCTCACGGTCACCTCAAACTCCGCACCTCCATGGCACTGCCGCCTGTGAGCTCCCAGGGGGGTCCCGGTCTTGACTTCTTCAAGCCATCCAAGTGTTCCCTGATCCTGGAACAAAGTGGTCGTCCGGTTTCCCCAATGTACTCATCCCCACATAGCGCACATGATATCAGGTAGATCACGCCTGATCTCATGCAATCACCCAATCGCCCATGAGGACAAATGACACAATCCGGGGTAATACAGTATTGATCGTACCCGCGGTTGCGAATCAGCTGTTTCCTAAGGTTCGCAGGGGGATCTCGACTACACGGACTAGACCGTCGAGACCACACCTACGCAGGGTCGTTCTTACGGTGCAGCTGATCGCGTCGCTCACAAAAGGGCAAACAAAATGGCACCTTCCCAGACTGCTCGACTTCCGATCCCTCTTGCCTCCTACTAGGTGGTCCAGAAAGGCATTTAGCCCTTGGGGGTACCCGTTGGAAAGGGAAATGTTCTGGGCGAGCTCCAAGGACTCCGCTTTCTCCTGACTGCCTGAAGAAACTGTATTAGCCGTCCTGAACATGTTGTTGTTACCATTATCCTAAATTTTCCAAACATCGTCACTGCTCCACTTTCCGAGTTTTTTTTTCAGCAATCCTCCAGTTTTTCCACCAAAGCTGCCGTCCCAGCTGGACAAGAGGGGGCGCGGGGAGTAGGGGGTACGCAGCGCACCTGGAGACACGAAAAACCAAGAAAAGTTAACAATCAATAAGATTTATTCCAAAGGAGAATGCGCCTCCCCCTTCCTCCACCGACCAAATACGACTCCTTCCCAGCAATCAACATGCTCCCTTCTGATGAGAATTGCACAGTAAGTACGCTGAAAAGTTACCGTTAGGTGCGTGCCAAGGCAGTGGCCCCTTCGCCGTCCCCTCTCAGAAAACAGCTCCAGATGACCCAGCGTCGTTGCCAGCAGCACCTATAGTATCGCACTTCTGCATTAGAAGCTTGGAATAGTACATTCCGCCGTTACACACTTTCGGGCGCCATGTCGCGCTGCGCCCAAAAGCGCGCTATACTGGTGATCTTGACACTATTCCGGCTTAGTTAGTGCACAAGGCATTTTGAGAGGAACAAGTACGCGTCAATAGCTGTACGGGTGTGCGAAGTGAGGGCAGCGGGGGAATAAATTGTTATAATGGTTGAGAATTTCCACGGCTTTATCTCTTTATTTTCTGTTGATTGTGTTTTTCTTCAAGTCTTTCGAGATTTTCTCGTTTTCCTTTTCCAATTTGCCAGTTCGCTAATGAGCAAAGCACAACGAGTGTCTCCCCTGTTTGTCTCCGCCCATAAAATTATCGTGGACTGTGCCTTTGAAAGAATTTTCGTTACTACTCCGTTTATTTTCAGGTGCTTCATTTTAATTATTTTTGAAGCGCCGTCAATGTACCTCTGATGCTGTTCACTGGTACACTACGAGTGCGGGTTCTAGAGGCTCGAGGTCTCCGACCGCGATTTCAATGCAAGAATGCAAACGGTGTGTTTTTCACTTGCTACGGCCCACGGTACATTTTCGAAATTTGGAGCGAACTCTCATGGTCAGCCAGCTTTGGTTTGAAATGCGGTATCGATTATTACGGCGCTGCTAATCCAATACGCTAAAAAAGGCGCGGCGTGCTTGTATATAGAAAGAGAACCGGTTTGCTCACTTGTTTTGAAATACAGCTGCTTATCTGGATTTTGGTGATCCTCATGAAACAATTTTGAATTTTACATGCTTTTATTAGGTTTTCCAACTTTTTTCTTTTTTTAATTTTAATTTAACTTTAATTTTTCGTAATTTTTTCGATTTTCTATCATTTGCTCGAGTCTCATTTTTTTTGCCGTTTCTAGCAAGTTATTCAAGTAATGATGACGATTGCCGTTGCTAATTGAACCATAGGTATCTTGCTGCTGGCATTTGGAGCTTCCGGAGTGTCCAGTCTGCAAATTTGCGTCAGCGCTACGGTAGCCCGCAACTTGCAAGGGAAAGTTGAGCTGTGTGTAAGGAAATCCAATAGCTGTGTGGAAGAAAATGTGCGAAATGACTCAACCACGCCGGAAACAGAAAAAACCGGTTAACGGTAAACGGCGCAGGCTATGGTTCAGGATTAGCCGCTGGCGGGAAATTGCAGACTGTCCCCCTCTAGGCACGTAGCGCTCACTTTTCTGTTATTACTGGTTCAGTGATATGACAAACAGTCAAGAAGCCTTTTGCCTGAGCCTAGAGATTAATAAGCTCCGATATAAGCGAAGTACTTCTTCCACGCAGTACTCCTATTCTCCTAGTTTGGGCAGAATCCTCATCGCCTCAGTCCTTCCTTCGCATCTTTTATATTGAGTGCTGTAAGTGTTAGTAAAAAAAACAAGGAAATGATGTGGGAACAAACTCCAGAGCTTTAAAATTCTTGTGCACAAATCGCTATTACCGTAGTGCGACGTACTGTTGCACCAAATGGCACAATATGTTCGGTTAGTGCTTATTTTACTACAGAGCATTTGTGCCAGCTGATGGAAATCCGCCCTCCTGCAAAGTGATAAAGGGCAAGTCGGCTAATGGGAAGGACGTTTGAGGGTACTTTGTGCAAAGCTGGAATTGCCCTAATGCACCACCCTCGTTTGCACAAGCAAATCGATTCACCCAATCCCAGGCTCTCTAGGGAGCTTTTTCCTTCCTAGGCTTGGGCAAAATTCCTCATGTCCAATACGGAAGTCCTAATCTTACATGAAGAGTCATTTGAAGGCGTAAGGCACGATAAATTGGCACTTGCTCAAAAAGAGTAGCAGGAATGCTGGGCAGTGGGAAAAGGGCGAAAAGGCGAACTCAAACGGCCTGATACCTGTGGCGTTTGTTCCGCACGGACAGGAACACGCACTGTACGAGCATTTTTGGACGAATTTCCCGATGGCATCGTGCGAAGAAAAACTTTGTTAACCGTTGTAGTGCTCTATATGTCCGTGCTGGAAGTCTCTAATCAGTCGTGCTTCTTAAATGAGCGATGAGTACCAGAACGATATGGCTGCCCGGTCTTTGTGGCGTGGGCGTGTGGGTCGGCATGTTGCACTTTGGTTAGGCCCTGTGGTTGCACTCCTGCAGGCGAAAGGCGTCATGCAGCGCCTCTTAAGGGGCATAATATTCTTTCGTGCCAAGGGTATCGACCCTGCACGCCTTGTCGATCTATCGTGCTAGTTGCCTTCCTATTGTGCTAGTTGCCTTCAAATGTCCCTTACCCTCTCCAGAGGGTCGGCTGTGGTACGGTGACACTCAATTATGTCCCACTTCCTACGTGTATGTTACCAGTTGCTTCTGGTGTAAGCTGACAACCTTACACCCCCCCCCCCTTGGATCGCCCTCCTAGTTCTCTGAGTGTTCTCTGCGGTTCAGTCAGGTTGGGAAGGTGAGCGCTTAATTTCTCGTGTATAAGCCATAGTACCACCATGAGCGATATGAGCGACACTAAGCGACTCAGAGCGGCGAACGCATTCCAGGATCGAGCATCGCGCTCGGAACTTGGAACTAATAACCTTGGAAAGGCACTTAGGTGATTCCTTGTATATAACTGGGAATGACGTCATCCAGATAGAAGTACCTTCCTTTGAATTGGTTCACCAAAAATCGCAGCTGCTAATCTTTCAATGCTCAAGCGGATTCCACATCTTCATTTGGGACCTCCGTTTGAGGGGCCCCTTGGGCAACCATTTTTGCTCAAGGAACCTCTCAAATGCACCATTGGAATATGGCGATGTTTTGCAATATTCTAATTAAGAGTGTTTGACTTTGGTAAAGAGTACATAGCTGAAATTTTTTTCCAAGGATTTCCAGTAGTTTTATTGATCAAATATCGATTGCTTTCAGGCGGCGATAGATGCTTATGTCAATGTGGATTGGGATGAGTACCATGTTGGCAAAACGTTGGTTCGGCCGAAAACCAATGAACCACGTTGGAATGAAGAATTCGTCGCGGTTCGTTATTTGAACGATTATTTGAGACCAGTGACACGCAAATTCCACGATTGCCATATGGGCGGGGCCCGGTCCTGATTAGCCCATCTCTTTCGTAAGACACGTGTGTCGGTGTCGGTTCAACACGAGGGGGTCACGATTGAGCCAGACACAGTGACACATTAGCGACAAAATGCACCGCTATAAGCGACAATAAGCGACACTTAGCGACAATGAGCGATAAATCGATTTCAGGACGACGTGCACTCTGGTCGAGCTATCGGTTTCACCGTCTTTCATAACTGTGTGATGCCACCAGATGATTTCGTGGCGAACACTAGGATACCATTCGACGATCTCAAAATAGGCAGCACTAATGATATCTGGGTGAGTTTATCGATTAATTGATAATCACCACAATTAAATAGGAATCATTGATGGGATCCGTAGGAAACCAGCAGCTTGTCGCGCGCGGCCTGATTCGGCGAAATTGCGTGTCATTGGTCGCACATAGCGTGA